TTTGTCTATAAAGGAAGCAAAGATAAGGAAAGAGTAAATCTGTTAAAACAAGCATGACAAGAACCATGAAGCCTACATTTTAGATGGTAACAACTGGCAACTTCTATCATCATCTTCTTCTATAACGTTAAAGAGGTCCATGCTGTTTCAACTATACTTTTGTGACAAAGACACGAACGATTGATAGAGAGGCGATTAGCAATCAATGATTATTAGAGCACTTTCATTCACTAAATATTCCGTAGCCTATCCAACTTCCAACATCTATTGGAATATTAACTTTTGACTGTTTGTTTTATCCTTCTTTTAGATTCTATTAAGTTTATGGAAGAACACTAATTTATCAAAGGGACAGAAAAAAGAAAACTGAATCAACAAAAAATTAAGCCCACATTTCATAGGTTTCAGTCCATACATAGTCTCTTATGGCGTATGTGCCTCCCTCTACAAACAGCAAATTGGGTCAGGCATGCATGATAAACTAGGTTCTAGGAACAAGGGATGCATATGCATACCCACCCAGAGATTATTTCCCTTCCAGGACAAATGATATATATAATAAGTATGGACAGACAGTTTAACAGTACAAAGTGGATAGCTCTGCAGGTACTTACTCGTGAAACAAAGGATCTGCATGATCACGTCCAGGATGAACCCTAACAGCCAATTCCAACTTTTTAGCTGCCACCTCAATTTCAGCAGAATCCTCACCACTGCCATATAAATCGATCTCAAATCCAGGAAGTTCCTTTTGATGATCACGTAAAAGATCAAGTAGCTCCTTGTACCCTTTGTTCCACAACTTCTTACCAATGTAGTAGACACCTTTGCTGAAAGCTTGGTTATCATTTTGCTGTTTCTCCCTAGTTTTCAGCCCAATCTCAAGGAACTTTGGATTAACTCCATGCACATTGCAGACCACAGATCTCGGTAGATCCTGGGTTGCAGCAGATAGCCGGATGACCTGCCATTTAATGCAAGCAACTTCTATAAGTCAAGGCATTGCACGTAAAATACCAAAAGACCATGTTTTTTCCTTTAATCAGTAAAAGATAGTTTTATCTATTACCAGCAATAGGAGTATGCTAGGCAGTACGTATAGTACAAGTTATTACAGGTTGTGTGAAGAGCTCAAAAGGTCAATCATGGGTTTTACATCATTGAATGAAGCCATGTTGCACCACAAAAAGAAGGAGATAACAAAAGATTGTGGTTACTAATTATAGTATGACAAATCAGCCCAACTAAGTGATTATCATTTCCTATATAAGTCTGAGTGCGCCAAAGCATGCAAAATGAACTGCACAGTTTCCAACTCTTGAGCTTATTAGTGTTTGGAATGGAAACTAATATGCAAGCATATTTCCGCAATTCAAACTTAACAAGGTTAACCAAAACAGAGAAAAAACATCACTACATTAAAGTGCCAAATGTCAAAAAGTGTTACATTTCCTCTCCCCCAAATAGATCCTCTAAACAAACAAATAATTACCAAAGAATAGTATCATCATACCTTGTGGCAATATATATCGACTACCCAGCCATTAATGTACTTTATCAGGAGGGCTACCAATATGTTCCTCTCTCTCCTGACAATCTCCCAATAATTGGTGTGAACAATTCCAACAACCAGACGAAATTTTTCTTTCCATCTCTTCCCATGATGATACCATGTAAGATGCTCGGGCTCCTCAAGGACTGCAATATCTGCTTCGTCATCTGGTATAATTACTGTAATATCGCCCAAAGCAAGAATGCTCCTTTTATCTAGAGAGAACTGCAATATAGAAATGCAACACTTCATTTCTAATACAGCACTCCAGAAGCATATCCATTGTACAAAATACAAGTATCTATATACTAAAATAAGCTGCGTGACTATTTTTCAACATGAGAGGAATGCCCCTCCAGGAGTTCATATTAAAATCTTACCATTGAAGAAATGACTGTCATTCAAGAAGTAGCTCAAAAGAGAGAGCTGGAAGGTCCTTACGACTAGGTTATCCCTCTCTTTTTCTGGAAACTTGTTGTTATTGCACTTTAGATATGATTATTAACAGAGTTCGGGTTTACCATTCCATGAAGAAGGGGGAAAAATATACGAACCATAGTTGGAATCTGGAGAACAACTTCTATAGGAAATGAAGTACTATTTGTTTTCAACCAATCTAAGGAAGTGAAGACAAAATTGTTATTTTGAGGGATACACAAAACTTTATAAAGTAAATATATGACATTCTAAATGCATGCAGAGCAGGTTCCCTCCGGCACACTAAAAATCATCCTGGTAAGGGGGGAAAGTAGAGCAGAGTAACTCATAAAAAAAATTCAAAAAGCATAGCATAATTATTTGGTTGATTTTCATAACAAACCAAACCATCAATAGTCATTGATGGCCAATCGCATAAAAAAATTTGATTTACATGGTACAAATATTTGCTCCTGAAGAATGAACCTCCCATTAGTTGAAGCATGTGATTGGCTACACTCCCACAATTCTAAGAGAAAAGAGTTCTCGGCGTAATAATTTTAAGACGGATTATTTCGGAGTTTGAGTTACCTTTCCAGGATAAAAACGTATATTGAAATTCGACTCAAATCCAGTCCTCTCTTCCACCCACTGACGGACATGCTTTTCCTGCTCCAAGTGTGAATCAAACGTGATATTATTGGGAAACAAGTGTTCCTGATCTATCAGCGGCAGCCAGGGAACAACCAAAGTGACCTGCATCCTACCATGCTTTGCAAGATAGGCCGCACGAAACAGAGGATTGACAGCAGTTCCAGTTAACCATGGAATGCTTGCAGTAGTAAATATGGCAATGTGCTGTTTCTTCTCCATTTATGGATGTCAAGACAATTTATTTGCAGCTGTATTCACAAAACATTCAGAGTCAGGAAAAGCCACCTGTGCAGACTAAATTTTAAGCTATTTATGAATTCCATGAAATGCATACAGACACATAAAATGTTTTCAGACTGTTGCTCAGATTGTCCAAAATGTTGCTGCACCCGTGTCACATCACGCTGCAACATAGTTTTCAAATCGATTTCTTTTTTACCAGGGAAATGTGGGAGAGGATTACAAGGCGAGGAATCGTGCTCTCACCAACAAGGAGAAAGTTTCGCTAGTCAACCAACTGAGCTACTACCACGGAAAAATTCAACTACAAGGCTTTGGGTATTGATCTCATGGTGTTCCAATTACACATAAACTCCAGCAACAAGCATCTCAAATCCTAGCAGTACATTTCATACTTGACATATTTGGTGAACAAAAAAGTTGATATCTCATAACAGAAACAAATTGAATAAAGTTTAAAAGCTGTTCACATAACAACACAAATACCCATTCAAAGCAACTAAACTTTTATCCATCTCCACAGCAAAGAAATGCTCAAATTTGAACAAAGGGTGCTGGAATTAACAGTAAAAATTGAATCTTGATAAGTAAAAATGGCAAGAAAAACCCAAAAAGTCAAGAAATAGAGAAACCCCTATGAGATTGTTTGAGTAAGAAAAGATTAAGAGGGGAGTTTAAGACAATGGCTAACCTGAATTTTCTCCAACGCTAAGTTTGAAGATTCCACTTCTTAAAGAAGAAGAATAATTAGTGCTTATAAATAATTAGAAATGTGACTAATTCTCATAAAAGGGAATAATTAATAGTAAGATAATGATGGTAACTAATGAATAATATTGCACTAAAGGCTGGAATGTGCTGGAAATGGGTTGCAAAACAAAGATAAATCATTTATAAAACAAATTTGTGTTTTTTATTTTTATAATTATTCATATTCTTGTTAGTTTTTTACTGTCAGTTGAAAAAAAAGAATATAGAGACAGACAAGTTTGCTAGCGTATAAACACTTGATTGGTTGGTTGGTATGCTGACGAGGTTCTGGAAGCTTCCATTGGCTTAAACAATAGTGGGCCCCGCTGGGTTGCTGGATTCATCCTTTCGTGTGTGCTAGATTCCAAGTGTATTATTTTATAGAATAATTTAAAACATTAGTAATAATAAAAATATTTTTGGACCAAATTATCAATAGTAGTGTGAATTTGTAAACCAAACTACTAGCTAAGAGCATTTGATTCAATTTGCATAATTTAAAGACATTTTTTATTCTTTTTGCTTTAAACGATTATTTCACCCAATCATTTAAATTACAAACAAAAAAAATGGTCTTAATATATTCAAAATGGCTCATCGATATCCTCTATCTATCTTTTGATCTTTAAATTTCCTTTAACGTTTTCTTTAGGTTATAAATATCCTTAACAAAATATTAGGTGATTCTTTTTATTTATCTCAGTCTTGATGAACAGAATTACGTGTACATATTACTCCCTATGTCCTATAATAATTGTCCCCTATTGACTTTGCATACTTCTTAAGAAACTATAAATAGATGAATAAATTTACTATATCACCCTTTAAATGTACTCCCTCTGTCCCTAATTACTTGTCTATTTTTCCTTTTTTAGTTGTCTCTAATTATTTGTCCATTTTGACAAATCAAGAAAGAACATTTTTTTACCTATTATATCCTCAATTAATTACTTTGAAAAAAGTAGAACTTTTTGAAAAACTTAAATTTTTAACTCACCCACTTCATAATTAATAGGGGTAAAATGTTAAAGTCACTATGTCAATTATTATTTTCTTTATAAGTGTGTCAATTTAAAAATTGACAAATAATTAGGAACAGAGAAAGTAATAAATACAATATTTTGAAAAATGTAACGCAGAAAATGACTACTCCATAGTGAAAACAATAATTGACATAGTGTAAATAATACTTGACACGTGTAATTCTCAAAATTAAAATTTTCAAAACTTTATCATGGCACAATTGGCCTTTTCTGAGAACACTATTTAAAGGTGAGTCTAACTGATCAACTAACCCGAATAGCAAAATAATCGGGTCGGATCATCCGAATAACTCAAAAAAAATTTTCTTGCGGGTGATTTGAATGTTTGGTCAGTGACAGTCAGGTGCAGCAATTTTTGGGTACACTGCGAATTTCATGAACAGTTTCAGCCAGCATTCCCAAAATCAAACCCTAACAAATTGGATCAAAATTTTTACCTTAAATCACATACCCTTGGCAAAATTACTTACATTTGTACTATCTCCCTTCTTTCCTGTAATCCGAAGCTGCGAAAAGGGAGAAACTTTCCAATTCTTGTGTATTACTCAGGTACAAAAAATTATTATGATTCATTTGTGTTTGAGTATGATAATGCTGATTTAGTTTCTGGGTTTTCAAAATCTTGATTCTTCATCGCAACAAACGTACTGGATTGTCCTAAAGTTTTGTTCTTTTTTTTCATTTCTTGTCTGTGTACACGTTACCCTTCTCCGACCCCGGTTGTGGGATTATCGAGTGAAAATTGATTGTATCTCTCATAATCAAGAAAAGAGAAAAAAACAGTTTCTTTGTGTGAACATTTTCTACCAGTTGTAGAATTTGTTTTTGTTTATTGAACATTCTCCTGCTGTACACTATACAGCTGTAAAATTTTGTTGGTTCATTGGGGAAAAAAAGTGAGAACAAGACTAGAAAATGCTAGGAAATGGAAATGCAGTTAAGATTGAAGGCCTTTGATTGTCTTTTAGTAGTTTTATCATTCAACTTTATTAGAACAATAAGAGAATGAAATAAAACTGATTATCCATCTTAATGTAATCTCTTCTCATAAGAGATGCATTTCACATGACCTTAAATTCTTTGACATAGCGTCAAGTTTGGTGACTGAGCGTTGTGGATCAATCATGGAAGCTCAACTTTGACATGTGTTGTATTTGCTGGCATGTTTGTGTTTATGTTTTTGGACAATATTCAGGCTTGAGCTGGAAAATGTTGATGGGACATGCAGAAGGGGTTTCAAAACTCGGTTCGTCGACAAAATTGTTGCTTTCTGACCCTGAATCAGAGTCAGATGGAGATGAAGAAGCTGATACTCCTGAGAAGATACTATATATGGCTTCTTTTGATGAACTTGGAGAGAAAAGTGTTCAGTATGACACTATAATATGGCTCTCTATATCATTGCTTCTGGTTTTAGCTTGGGGAATTGGAATACTTATGTTACTCTATCTGCCGATGCGAAGATATGTGCTTAAAAAGGAAATTTCATCACGCAAACTTTACGTTACTCCAGATGAAATAGTTTACAAGGTATGCATAGCTTGGTCAAGTCATGCTGTTTCCTTAAGACAATATAGAGCTGATACAGCTGCTTTTTGTGTCAATTGTAGGTGTCAAGACCTTCATTCATACCATTTTGGAAAGACATAAAATTTGAAAAGCATGTTCCTCTACCTTTAGTGATAGATATCATTATTGAGCAAGGTATCAACTGCAACTTTTAATATCCAGTATCTTATCTTCTTTTGTTTTTTTTGGGTACAATCTCATTTCAAAATTTTACATTGATCGGCCATCCATTGATAAAGAGGTTGTAATGTAGGGATGTATGCTGGACATGAATCAATCAACTACTCCTCGATTCTGAAATACAAAGCATAACTTTCAAATGATTTTTGTGTTCCTATTTAAAGTTGGAGTTTTCCATCAAAACTAGTGGGCTAAATTCTAAATAATACTACGCTGCAGTCTCATTGAATGCTTTTCTCCCTGCTAGTGGCTACTATTATCTATCTATAGCCAAAAGCACATAATTACATCTCTTCCCTTTTCCTCAAAACTTATAGAAGTGATATGGAGCAGCAACTTCTCAATCTGTTGCTTCTGGCAAATCTTACATTCTCATGAACATCTACTAGTAATTCATGCAAAATATGTATCCCTATTCAACTGTCACGTTTTGGATAAGCAGATCCTTGTTGCCACATCTTTGAGAAACAATTTAAACTTGTCATTTTGAATTTCACAAGAGTTGAACTTATTATGTATGTCTTTCTCTGATGTAAAGAGCAGTAGAGATGGTATAGTATCCAATCAAAAAAAAAAATCTTTAAAGAAAAAAGAGAATCTTACTTGATGGCCTTGTGGTGTATAAAGTAGTTAATTGACTCTTTACTCTTTACTACAAGAGTAAACAGTTTCTTAGAATTTTGGGTAGGAAGAAATGGAAAGCAAGTATAGGCATGAGCAGATGGGTGTTAAGCATACCGTAATGCAACTAATAGACACTAGCATGGCGATTCTCTTTCAGTTCATAACAGTCACTATTACTTCCACCTGTTTGTGTTCTTTTTCCAATTCATTATCTTCTTGAAATCCCTGCATTTAAATAATTTCTCTTTTGTTCTTTCAGTTGTTTTACTTGATAACGTTTTTTCTTTTTTTGATTCTTTATAGTACCTCATGAAGGTCTCTTGTGCCCTATTGCTGTTAAAACTTTACCAATTTAATTTTGTAGGTTGCTTGCAGTCAATGCTTGGACTACACACCTTCAGAGTTGAAAGTATAGCACGTGGAAAAGCTGCACCAGTTGATGAACTACAGGTGCAAGGTGTGCATAATCCTGGACTCCTAAGGAAGGTAAAATAGCTGTTATGTCCTGTGAAACTCCCCCTTTGTTCTTTTTCTCCTTTTTGCTTTTGGGGTTTGTCACTCAGTTTATTAGTTTCACTTCTCTCTGATTTTGCTTTTTGTGGGCTCCTTGGCAGACGAGAATATTGATGATTCTGAAGTGCTAAGTGTCATTACATTATTTTCAGGTCTTCGTAAATGAAGCATCAAAGGTCATACATGTTGGAAGGAGTTGGAGAACTGTGGTTCAAGGTGATGATGGTGCTGCATCCGTTTCGAGATCACCATCTAAAACTTCAAGGGTAAGAACGATTTCCAACATTTTAGCATAATCAAATCCTTGGAAGTAGTATCTCTATATTTCTTTGTCACCACTAAATATTTCCCATGGGGTCTTTTTGAGATGTTGTTTAGTACCAGGTTGTTTTCAGAAGGCCACTTTGTTTAATTTATTGTTATGGGCGTAATTCATTTTAGAAAAAGGGAAAAGTTACTGCTATGCACTTAACTTCTTTTCCAAAAATCACAAGACAAATTTGTTCCTTTGAATGTATGATAATAAAACACAGTTTTATTGAAATTCCTGATCACTATAATGTACTGCAGAAGGGAAGATTTGATTCTTTGTTTCGAGCAATGTAGTGTGGAAAACATAATTGAGAAGCATAGTGAAGCAAGGTCACCGTGCCTCGTTCTTTCAAATGATGTCCTTTTTGCCTATTTCATTTCATCTGGACTGATATGTACAGAGATTCAGTGTTACACAGTTTTATCTTACATTGATAATCCATCATTATCATGGATGGACATGTAAATCAGATCCTATCAAAATGCTTCTTTCTACCTAATTTTATTTTAATATTTGAACTTGCATCTATCTGTTATGCAGCTGACGGGCTCCCCACGCCATGCTTCCCTGGAGCACAGGGGTTTTGTACCTTCTGATTTTCTGCTTCACAAGCTTGACGAAGTTAATAATTCAGTGAAGGTGAATACCCTGTCTATTGCTGATTGTTGCTTTCTAAATACTCGACATTTATCTCCTTGAATACTGTTTTAAGTTTTTAAGATGTTCTGCTAGGCAAATGAACTGGTTATGATTGTATTAGAAGCTGTGAACATAAAAGCAATGAGTTAGATCTCCATTTCATTCATAACATATTCCTCGTGCCATGTTTTTTAAACTCTCACACATAAAAAAATCTTCTCTTACATGATCAGAAAATCGAGTTGCTTATTGAGAAGTCCCCAGCCACTCCAGGAAGCAGCTAACGGAGTTTGATATATGCCTTGGTCTCAACTACATCACCACGCTTAAATGAACCAGAAAAAGTTGCTTACCTAGAATCTCTCAAGCAACCCAGAAAACAGCTATGGGTGGTCGGTTTGTGCCTCATTGGCTTTTCTTCGTAAGAGTTTATGTGACCAGAAAAGAAAATATGGCAAGCAACTCCAGGAAGCAACTATTGCCTTTGAGCCATAAGATGTCATCATTTGTAATGTAAATAACCAGTTTACGCCATTGTGTGTGAAGTCTTCACAGCAGTTTTGGTCGATGCATATATATAGTGGGACATTTGAAACATGAGCCTACATCAAAGTTTTTGTTCATTTCTTTCTTTGTATTTGCAGAGAGACTGAATTGGAGGCCAATAGAGGCTTGTCGTTTGCTATAATGAAATAGTACTATAATACTCTGTTAGCTATATATCCTTTTAGAAATTGTGAGTATTTACCAACTCTTACAAATGTTATGTGGGAATTGGGATCATGAAGATGGTATATTTTGTTAATTATTCATTTGATAAAGCTTATGCTTCAACTTCAGTAAAAACTGCAAAATTCGTATGCAACATAAATTGTTTTGTAATACACAACATCTACACCTTGTTTGGATGGTTGTTACATAGTTTTGATGAATACTATATTTAGAAGTATTGCATGATTTTTCACCGTTTCATAATACAATGCACCAATAATTTGAATAACAAACTTACAATTTTATCAACAAGAGAAGTTAAGAGTAAAAGGGTAAAATGTATGGAAAATCTTACATATTAGTTCGACCATCTAAACTTTATCTTAGTTATAAGAGTAAAAGGGTAAAAATGTATGGAAAATTTTACTGTTTGACTATCTAAACTTATCTTCTTGGCGAGGGTTTGATTCCGACCCATGCTTCAACCACCCCACGCTGCAGTCCAAGGAACTGTGACTCTCTTCAGTAGGCACAGCAAACTCCTTGGCCCCATAAGAACTACATTGCTTTTCTAAGATACGAATTACGATTGTAGAAATCAGTCGGGAAGCTAAGAGATTGAAAATGAGTAGCAAGAAAATATTGATAGTTGGTGGCACAGGTTACTTGGGTCAGCATCTTCTGCAAGAATTCACGGCAATCCAAGATACTCTTCCATATGCTCTCTCATTAGCCTTTACCTACCACACCAATCCCCCTCCTGAGCGCCTACTGAAAGCCATTCCTCATGCCCTACCCTTCCATGTAGATTTACGAACCAGCAACGGCTTTGATGACATCTCACAAAATTTTGGGCAGGTTTGAATTAAGATTCCATCTTTCTCTTTTAGGTCTTCAAGAATTGCAATTATTTTGCTTGCATTTACAGTTTTGGTGATTGATAGCATCTCACGAAATGTTTGTCAAGTTTTTGGGTGGAAGTGTAAAACTTATGGTTCAATCCACTAAATAGGTTCAACTAGTAATAAAATTTGAACACATAAATCCAATGGGTTGTGGTAGAATTTTGATTTCGAACTCGAACTTTAAATTGTGAATTTCATGGTTTGCATTTTACTGTATACAGTTACTAAAGATTCCATTTTTCCATTGTGGATCTTGAAGATAACATTTTTCTTTTTTCACTTCTATTTTGGTGATTGAGATATGCATCTTAATATATGTATATAAAATTTGAAGAAAGTTTTAAATATTATATTTAGTAAGAGAATTCTTATTTGCGTCGACTAATATCACTCAAGGCTGTGAATTTATTTAGGTGTAGTCTTTGCTGTCTGTTTGTTGTCATCTAGGATAAATACCTGAAGTAGCTGGTGGATTGTATAGTAGGTCAAAATTTATTACTATCCTAGTTAAAATGTCCATAATAGCTAATACCAAGCTTTGTAATGTGAATGAGCAGCCTGATGTTGTGGTTAATTGTGCTGCACTTTCTGTTCCACGTGCCTGTGAAGTGGATCCTACTGCTGCCATGGCTATTAATGTGCCTTCTGCTCTTGTTAAGTGGTTGTCAAGTTTTAGCAATGGCGGTACTCTTCTGATTCACTTGTCTACTGATCAAGGTAACACACGAGGAAATCATTGTAGTGACAATAGCTAATTTTTCGCAGAAGTTAGAGAATTTCTTGCTTCTTTCTTAAGCTGGTTATGCTTCTTAGGCTAACTGTGTTGGTTTCTATGGGGGAGGAGAATGGTAAAACATCTTACTCTCATTGGTAAAGTTTGGTCATTGTTTCACTTATTTGGTACAGTTGGAAAAAAAGTAGATGAGAATAGAAAATGGACGTACTTCCTTCCTTTGTAGGACTTCTGGGAGTGAAAAGTTGCATAGCTGAGTACACAAGTCCTCAGCTATTGCCATACTCCACTTCTACTTGGTTACCTGGCAGCCAATTCTTCCCTGATCTTACAACTTTGTTTCAATGTTGCTTTGGAGCCTTTGAATCCGTCTCCACTGACATAACGGATTCTCCTTTTTCTTAGGTTAAAAAAAGGATCACCTATTTCATCAGATGTTAAAGTTTATCCACTCACTGAACTTTTGAGTTAGATGCAAAGATGCAATTTTTGGCATTTCTTAACAATTGGTGTAGCACTTTGCCAGTTTTATTTGTTGTTCCGTTACACATTCTTCAAGATAATATAGCCAATGGGCAATGAGGTGCATGTCTTAGAGCTTTTGTGCCTGCATGGAAGTGTCGCCTAAGCGAGATCTTGTGCCTAACCTGCCATGTGCCTAGATTCTTGGTGTAAGGCGCCTCAATTGAGTCTTTAACAACACCACTGGCTATCAATATCATAGGAGCCAAACTCTATATACTTGTTAACTTCTTGTGTTACCTCTGCAATCCCTACCTAAGAAACTAATTCTGGCACAAGGATGAACTGGTCCTTCTAAAGCATGGGTAATTTTTTTAATATTAAGGAAAATAGCAAGTACTGGTAAGATGCTTAAAATTAATAGACACTTGGCTAAGGAAGATGCTGACTTAAATTCCTGGTGCATAAAATATTGAGAAATAGGATGTTAGCTTCTGTTCACCAATTCCCCTGATATATTTGTTGGTGAATGCTTCATATTATTTATTTTGCTGTATTCCTTTCCATGAAAAGATTTGAAGAAGCTGTTTACAACCTTAGCATCTGTAGATCAAGCTCTCTCACCTGTGTATAATTTTATCAAATTGTTGAATGTTCTCATGTGGCTGGATGAACAATCATTTAATTATTGAATGTTCTCATGAGTCATGTCTTTTGACTGATGCAAACAATTTTCTTGAGACTAGGTGAAACTAATTAGACTTTTATCTCAGTCTATGAAGGGACCAAATCCTTCTACAAGGAAGATGATGAGACCCTTCCTGTGAATGTTTATGGAAGATCAAAGGTAGCAGCAGAGCAATTTATATCTGTAAATTACTCAAATTTTGCAATTTTGAGGAGCAGTATTATTTATGGACCTCAGACTGTCTCCCCTGTACCAAAATCACTTCCAGTTCAGGTGAATACAATGAACTTCACCTTGTACTCGCACTTGTCCAACTTCATTAAAGGGCTGTTATTGTTCAGGAGAATCAGTGGGGGTTATAGTAGCCTCCATGCCTTTTCTTTTGTGTGATTTGCAATTTAAACACGATATATCTTTTTTTGAAGCTTAACCTAATCACTTCATATTATGTCACGCTTTCCTTCTGTTTGGCCTGTATCTAGATTTAAACTTGATGTTGACTTGATTTTTTTATTTTTTTAAAAAAAGTTGATATTGAGATGTATTCAAGCTTGCAAATTATATTTAGCCCTCTATATGCGATTACTATTGAATTCCATCTATTTGTCCCTTTTTTTTGGACTCAATGGTTATATCATGGGGGTGAGTGGCTCTATTGAGCTTTATAATATAGTACTGTTGTTACATCAAATTGAACATAAGATTGAATGTTTACTCATGATTCTGTTATGATACAACAGTAAAAATTGCATCTAAATCCCAAGCAATTCTATTATGATATATGGCACATTAAATCACTCGACTACTGGGCTTTGAGCTGATGCTTCAAATGAAAATCATGCAGTGGATGGATAGTGTTCTTGCAAAGGGAGAAGCCATGGATTTTTTTCATGATGAGTTCCGTTGTCCTGTCTATGTTAAGGATCTTGTGACCATCGTCTGGACTCTGACAAGTAGATGGATCTCAGGTTAGACATGTGTTGACCCTCAAGACTGATTTGCCTTGATCAAAGTAACACAACTTTTTGACAACCCTCTGTCTGCATTAACAAATACGGGATACTTATTTCCTCAGTTTCTTTTTTACACGTGTGCGCTATGTTACTGAAATTTCACTATGATCTTCTTGGATTGGTTCTTTCTTTGTAGTAGTTTTCTACATATTTAATACAACCTTTCTTGCTGCATGAGGATTTGATTCTTTTGAAGTATATGATTGAGTTAACTGGAATATAATCCGAAACAAATAATTCAGCTCAGTGCTCAATGTGGTTCACTATGACTCAAGAAAAGTTCTACAATGTGACTCTATCAATGCTCATAACCGGTTTATATTTATAGTTATGTCTAACTTTTTCCTTTTAAAACCTTCTAGTAAAGTTTCTGATACTACTTACCTGATTTTCTATCTCTCCTTGACTTTTGCATTTTATCACATGATATGTGTTGTTTCCAGAGAAGGAGCCAATGCAGTTACTTCTGAATGTGGGTGGACCTGATCGAGTTTCCAGGGTTCAGATGGCTGAAGCTGTTGCACATATTCGAGGTTATAATTTGTCATTGATCAAATCAGTATCCTCATCAACTGTAAGTAACATTGGTTTAACATTACCCTGACATTTGCATGCACGCGCACAAACAAATTTTCAGAAATAGTCTCTTTACTTTTCTCATTTACCTTCTAGCTTCTGTTGTATCAAGCTTTCTCAATGGTAAAATACATGATATTTCGATTTGCTTTCATTGTCGTTACCTGTTTCTGTTGTGTTACACTACAAGCGCAACACAGTTCAAGAAAGTATCATCACTGCTGTTTTTTTCTTCAAACCACATACCTAACATATGTGTGTTATTATCTGAACATTATAGGTTAACCGCGGCGTTAAATCTCCAGCAGATATATCCATGGATATCACCAGATTAACTCAGACACTCAATATGTCACCAACTTCATTTAGGGATGGTGTTAAATTGACACTTGAAGCTGAATTTGCTTCTGCATCATAGTAGTTTTTGTCTTGCTCTTTGCCAGAATTCTCTTCTTTGTGTGTATTCGTTTTGTCAAATTATGTTCATCTTTCAGAAATATAATTTGACTTCACAATTTATCAAAAGATTTTGGATCTTCGCACTCAAGGGCATGACCTAATGGTTTAGAATCATGAGGTTTGCATTCAAATTCAAGTGGCCGAGTTACAAGTACCTGTAAAATTAGTTGATGTGTGCCTAAACTAGCTCGGACATCTCCAATATAAAAATAAAACAATATAAAGTTTAGCTTCAGATACAAATGCATCATAAAATGTCAAAGATTACAAAATCTATATTTGGTGATTTTTTTATTTTTTTTGGTTTCCTATTTGGTGATTTTAATGTCAGTAGAATCTTAATTTTGTAGGAAGTTAAAACAACCGATGCACATGCATGCACTGGAGGATATTGACTACAAGCAGTGGCTATGGTCACAAACTCACAGTACGCACCGTCATTGGTTCTAATCATTTTCGAAAATAATGATGTATGTGTTATATTCTATGTTATATGGCTTGATTACGACAATAACATACCGAGTGAAATTTCATAGGCGAGGTTTGCTTATGCTAGAGTATATATAGACCTTATCCCTACCTCGTGGAGGTAAATAAACTGTTTTTGAAAGACACTGAACTCATTAACACATCAAAAACACATTTTAGAAGAGAAAACAAAAATAGTGAAGACATCACAAATATTTGATTGGAAAATAAAATAAAAAGAGATTTGATTTTCAACTTTAAATTTTTCCAAAAAAAGACAATTTGATGCACTAAAGTATTTGCAATGCATGCACGGTACGGAAAAAGGCAGAATCAAAGGATTTATAATATTTCTGTTTTCATGGCTTGAGTTCATAACTTTCTGATCACATGACAGTAACTTTACCTGTTATTTCAAGACTCGTCTTTCAAATTTGCAGCTGAAAAAGTAGACATCCTAGTCAATGAAACAGTCAAAACGCGAAAGAATCAACATTTTACGCGGAGAACACTGAAATTAATGGTCATTTTCCTTTTAGAATCAATTCCAAAAATCCAATTTGTGTTCATGACTAATCAAAAAAGAAATAAAATCAATTTCTATTCCAAAATTTCACTTATTTGGTTGCATTTGCATGCCCACCATTCATAATAATTGTGCTGCTTTATTCTTGTTCTGTAAATAATACACTACGTAGCTGCCTAACAAAATAGAATTATTCCATATGGTATATAGAAAACTTTATTTAACATGATAAGAAAATGCTAGCTCCACTTCGACTAGTATATATGTCACTGTAATTTTGAAGAGATTAAAACTATATCTGATAATTAATATTAAAGTAATCTTATCTTGGAATTCATTTTACTGATAAATTGTAATTTAGTAACAACAATAATGTCTAGAACAACTTATGCGCAACTGTACCGATTCAATATAGTGGGTATATGCTACCTTCTAGTGTTGCATACATTATCTAGTTTATGTTGTTTTATCAGTAACTAGCATAAAAATTTAAAACGATCTCATTAGTATAAAATTAAATTTGAAAAATATTACGAGTGAGTAATTTTTAGAAGAGATTTTTGATTAATATTCATTTGGTGATCATAGGAAAACTCAATAAAGAATAAGTCTAAGAAAAATAGCATTTTAAATAGTTAACGTTAAGGTTACTTATGAGTTATGTAAAGCATATTTGGAGAATAAATTCTTGGTGACAAAATAAATTAAATAGATATCATGTTGGAACATAGAAAGCACGTATCTGCTACTATAAAAGGTAGTACCTTTTCTTTTTTTCTTTTCAGGTATTCGGTATCCATATTAAAATCTGATTAAATTTGAATTCGCATCTGAAAATTTCACATTTCACATTAGGGCATCTGATTAAATTTGAATTCGCACCCAAAAATTTCACATTTCACATTAGGGCTAAAGCACTCCTTAATAAAGACGACTTTATATTCAAGGGGACTCGAATCCAAGACATATGGTTTAGAATAAATAAATATTTATCACTTCACCACAATCCTGATTGGTATAAAAGGTAATACCTTCACCAAGTAATAATTAGTATTGCAAATTTAGCCTCTCACCAGAATCAAAATCTCCTTAAATTTTCAAATTATTCCAGTAAATAAATAAAAGTACAATTTGGCCTTTCACTTCCAAAGGAGAATCTTCATAAAGAACATGGGCACATATCAGACCTACGTAGGCATTGAACTAACGTGTCGTTTGGCAAAATTAAGTATTGTAAAAGTGAATGAAACAATACCTCCAATACTATCATAAGTAAATTTTAGATTTAAACTCTATCAATAGATTTATTTTTTGAGATATTTTATGATTAAATTTATTGTACTTTTGAAATTATAATTCATAATATAATAATTTTGATATGTTAGTGATATATATACTATGTAATCAATATATCTAAAATGATGAGTTCATTTAAAACCATTAACTCCAAAATGCATTCGCTTTTAACCATTGTTTATCGTTCACACACACATATATAATACTAGATATAGGACCCCGTGCCAGCACGGGGCCCAATATATATTATTTTTTTATTTTAATTTATGTCATATTATGGAATTTGAGAAGTTATTGAAGTTTTTATATAATTTTAAAAATATTTTAAATTTTTAGCTATTGTGATTTATAGTACTTTTTTTTAACATAATTTTGAAAATAATATTTATTACTCTGTTTGTTCTAATTTATGTGGCACACGCAGAATTTCAAATATTAACCATTTTTTATATGCCTCTTTAATATATTAAGTTGTTAATTATTGTATTTTATAGTACATTTTGAACCTAATTTTTTAATAATATATGTTATTTACCATGTCCCAATTTATGTGGCATTAATTGATAGATTTGTTGGAGTCGAGAGATTTATTATGTTAATTATTGTAATTTATAGTTTTTTTTTCCGTCAATTTCAAACAATATATGTTGTTAATTGATAGAATACTTTTAATGTAATTTTTTAAAAAAAATATGTGTGACTGTCCATGTCCCAATTTATGTGGCACATGTAAAGTTTTGACAATTAACCGAAATTTTAATACATTTAAAAAAATATTTTTAAGTCGTTAAATTTTAAGTAATTTAAATTGTTGTATTATTTATTACAATTTATAATACTTTTAAAGTAGTTGAAATATTGTACTATTTAATATGATTTATAACACTTTTTTTTTAATTTATGTCATATTATGGAATTTGAGAAGTTATTGAAATTTGTATATGATTTAAAAAATATTTTAAATTGTTAGCTATTGTGATTTGTAGTACTTTTTTTTAACATAATTTTGAAAATAATATTTATTACTCTCTTTGTTCTAATTTATGTGGCAGATGCAGAATTTCAAATATTAACCCTTTTTTATATGTCTCTTTAATATATTAAGTTGTTAATTATTGTATTTTATAGTACATTTTGAACCTAAATTTTTAATAATATATGTTATTTGCCATGTCCCAATTTATGTGGCATTAATTGATAGATTTGTTGGAGTCGAGAGATTTATTTTGTTAATTATTGTAATTTATAATTTGTTTTTCGTCAATTTCGTCGACTATTTTTTTTATTAATTATTGTAATTTATTGTTTCTTTTTCGTCAATTTCAAACAATATATGTTTATCATATAATCCATTTTATGTGGTATCAATAGAATTTAGAGAGTCAATTAAATTTTTTATATAAGTTTTAAATAATTAAGCTGTTAATTATTGTAATGTATAGTATTACTTATATTATTTTTAAATATATTTAAATATTATATGTTAGGTTTTTTATCCTAATTTATATGGCATTGATAGAATTTAAAGTGTCAAATAATTGTTAATTATTGTAATAGATAATATGGAGTATTTAAGTCATTTATAGTAATTAATATATAATATGTAGTATTTAAGTGTTATATTATGGAATTTGAGAAGTTATTGAAATTTTTATATGATTTTAAAAATATTTTAAATTTTTAGCTATTGTGATTTGTAGTACTTTTTTATTTACATAATTTTGAAAATAATATTTATTACTCTGTTTGTTCTAATTTATGTGGCACACGCAGAATTTCAAATATTAACCATTTTTTATATGTCTCTTTAATATATTAATTTCTTAATTATTGTATTTTATAGTACATTTTGAACCTAATTTTTTAATAATATATGTTATTTGCCATGTCCCAATTTATGTAGCATTAATTGATAGATTTGTTGGAGTCGAGAGATTTATTTTGTTAATTATTGTAATTTACAGTTTCTTTTTCATCAATTTCAAACAATATATGTTGTTAATTGATAGAATACTTTTAATGTAATTTAAAAAAAAAATATGTGTGACTGTCCATGTCCCAATTTATGTGGCACATGTAAAGTTTTGACAATTAACCAAAATTTTAATACATTTAAAAAAAAATAATTAAGTCGTTAAATTTTAAGTAATTTAAATTGTTGTATTATTTATTACAATTTATAATGCTTTTAAAGTAGTTTAAATATTGTACTATTTATTATGATTTATAACACTTTTTTAAAAAAAAATTATGTCATATTATGGAATTTGAGAAGTTATTGAAATTTGTATATGATTTAAAAAATATTTTAAATTGTTAGCTATTGTGATTTGTAGTACTTTTTTTTAACATAATTTTGAAAATAAATATTTATTACTCTCTTTGTTCTAATTTATGTGGCAGATGCAGAATTTCAAATATTAAACCTTTTTTATATGTCTCTTTAATATATTAAGTTGTTAATTATTGTATTTTTTAGTACATTTTGAACCTAATTTTTTAATAATATATGTTATTTGCCATGTCCCAATTTATGTGGCATTAATTGATAGATTTGTTGGAGTCGAGAGATTTATTTTGTTAATTATTGTAATTTATAGTTTCTTTTTCGTCAATTTCAAACAATATATGTTGTTAATTGATAGATTTTTTGGAGTGGACTATTTTTTTTTATTAATTATTGTAATTTATTGTTTCTTTTTCGTCAATTTCAAACAATATGTTTATTATATAATCCATTTTATGTGGTACCAATAGAATTTAGAGAGTCAATTAA